CCACGGTGAACCTTATGTTAATTTTTATTTACTGGTTACTCTACACCTGGTTACTAGCGAGGTGCGGGACGATTATAATTGCTTGATTGCTTCGAGATACGCATGCGCGCACAGTAATGATAACTGATTTTGATTACTTGATAGTTCATCATACGCAGTCGGGGATATCTACTGGTGTAACGGGGTCAGCCTTTTTATGTATCACTAGAATCCAATAGAATAGATGCGGCCGTGCAAGATAGGAATCAGGTTGCAGATTATTCAAAGATACTATCGCTAGAACTCAATAATCTTTAAGGGCTCTGCTACCGAGTAATACTCAAGATAACTTCTCGTTTTGGGATGATGGAGAAACAGGACAGTTCGGCGGGAATGGTCCTGAGTACTCAGCCTTATACTCCAAAGGACTCTATTCTCTGCTCCTACTTCCTTAATAAGTTCTGGCGATGCCTTTCATCGGTAGGAAAACAATACCACTGCTACCCCGCCTCTCTCCGATGCATGCGGTTTATACCGCTGTAGGTACCCCCTAGTGTCACGGTACAAAGTACTGGATAATTCATACTCGGGGGCAGGATACTGTTTTCATCTCCGAAGTGGGATATGATACTATCCTCCTGTAGAGAGATGCCCAATCCTCTCAAGTACTACCTGCAGCGATGCCTGGATACGTATTTACCTACCTGTATTTTGACGCCTGTACTGACACCGCTACAGACTGCTAAATAGCAGCAAATCGTCGCCCAAATTGACGCCCAAATTGACGCCCAAAACGACACCAAACGTCGACTAATTGCACAAAGTCGAAACCTAGATCAGCATCAAATCTACGCTCAAATCTACGCTCAAATCGACGACTGACTGTGCACGAAATCAACGTCAATTAAGCTCCTAATAGGTAGGTAGATAAGCAAGCAGGTGCGGGGGTAGGCAGGTAAGCAGGCAGGTGTGGGGGTAGGCAGTCGGGCACGGGGGTAGGCAGGCAGATACGGGGTAGGCAGGCAGGCAGGCAGCGCGCGGAGGTAGCAAATATGTACATAGAAAATTAGATAGACAGATAGACGAATATATGTGACAGTCGCGCGGAAACCATGTCCTACTAGTCGATGTACCTTTTGCCGAGTGATCTCGTTCTGCCAGCAAATCCTGCTAGCGAAACCCGTTAACCAGGCCAAAGATACTAGCGTGGAGACGACATCAGACGGCGTTAGACGCCAAAAGCTGTCGCGACGACGTCGGTTGACAAAGAGACGCATGGCTCTCGTCGTGGGGCGCCCAGGCGTCGGTCTACAGGTAAGCAGGTGCCCCAAGACGAGACCCCGTTTTTTGCTGATGTGATGCTTGAGGATCCCAAAACGCCCAAATGACTCAAACTTATCCTCCCACAGGATAACCTATCTCGACCCTCGAGATGTGCTATCCCGATTCCTAACAAAGTTGGTACCATAGGGTACCGATATCTAACTTCCTCAAGCAAGTTTGCTGGATCAGGCCGGCCACTGTCAGGATATATAGGGCCGGCCGTCATGGTCACTTTCGATCACGTCGGGAATGAGAGCTATATGATATGTATAGTGTGGTCGACGAGCCTAATCGAGTCGAGTTTGAGGATTGGCTCGAGGAGCTCGTTGATTTACGAGGCCTGCTGATCTGCTCGGTGTGGTCACCTGTGCTCGTGAGGAAACTCGAGTCCCCCAACAAATATTTTTATACCCTACATAGTACCTAATCAGGTAAAGCACTGAAAATGATACTTGCGAAAAACAAATCTTTGGTTCTAATTTGACATTGACCTATCAACTTATGCTAAGATCCTATATGACTAAAAGGCCCGAGCGACTCGAGTCGATTTTTATGAAGTGCTCGTGAAAGCTCGACTCGTGGCCCCTCCTGCTCGTCCTTGCTCGAGTACAAAGCTCGAGCCGTGAACTCGAGTGGACTCGACTCGTCGACCACACTAGATGTGTATTGTTCTACATAACTATCATGGACGAATGGTTTTGCAGCTAGTTGTCTATAAGCCACTAGTGGTACCTAAAAGCCATGTATGTAGCGATCGCGACTATATATATATTACTTTTGGTATCAAAAGAGAGAGAAAATAGATACATATATACGAGATTCATAAGGTTGGTATACTTTGTTGTCACAGCTTGTTCGATGCCGTATTTAAGATACAGGTAATCCCGTGTAAACTGGTGCACTACTACGCGGCTACTTGTTTAATAGAGCTCTCAGAGACTCAGTACTTAGCCATAGAGAGATCTAGATTATGCCCACAAAGCTAGGCCGCGCGAGAATAAGAATAGTTGTCATAATATACGTGTTATCAAGACCCAGCTAGTACTAGTGTATCAGAAGCGAAGGAGGTATGCCACTGTATCTCTTGATTCTCTTTCCACCACCGATCGAAGAACTTACAAACTCCGTCGCCACCCCCGAACCACCTCAAGCTCAACATCGGCACTGGCCGCACATCCATCAGCACCCCCCGCCAATGCCCGCCCGGCACACGCCCGCAGCGGCGGACACCACCTCCGGCCCGAGTACTCCACTTAGAGCAGCGTTAGAGTACTCCAAGTGCGTGGGTAGCTAGCTTATTTTCTCACGGTAGTTTAACTGGCCAGACCTGTCTGCATTTTCCCATCCCTGCGACATGGGAGAGTGAAGAGTAGCTATATTTGTTACTAATACTATAACCCACGATCTCCTTGCAGTAGTAAGTTACGGCTTCAACCCAGTAACAAGCGGTCTTATGTACTCTTACCTATATGCTACCTCAGGGGCTTACACCTTACCAAACCACTGACACGTGGACGCAAGGTTAACTAGGTATATCTACTCGTCCCCACGCACGAACAGCACCTACAACCAACTACGGCCCAATCACAATACGCTCCATATACCACCCACCACCCACCTTCTACAACCCTATCACCTACCCTCACCTATATACCGCGCTATCACCCACCCTCTCACCCACCAACGACTCCCCCGCCAAGCCGCACATCAAAGCTTACTCACCGGCCCCCATGCACCCCCGCCCCCACCCACCCAATTAACCCCACATCCAAGTGTAGATTCCAGCACTTTTCCCTCCGAGCCTTGGCGAGCACACTTGATTGGTGCCACCAACGTCAGTGCCAGTTGACGGACATGGATGGGTAGTGCCAATTGGACCCTGGAGATCTTGCTGTCAGGATGGTCGGTTCGGCCGGGGTGGGTGCGGGGGCTATATATATATATATATATATCTACTTCTCCTTATCCTTATATCCCCGCAGAATGTTGGGTACATATAGCCGGTTACTTTTTGGATTGGATTGGGTTGGATTTGATTGGGTTAGATCGAGGATCAAATTGCTATTATAATTGGACTGCAGACTTTGTAGCTTGCCACGGCACACTACGATCCCCGAAGCCGACGCCGACCACAATTAACCCACCGCAAAAGTTCCATGGAACGCAGGAGGAGACAGACCGATGTCAGCCAGATAACAACGCCAACACCTCGTCAGACGCCACATCCCCCCCCCCCCCCCCATGCAGTCTATAGGGAGGAAGATAATCAAAGTAAGCCACTCCCTTACCAACCAGCCAGCCAGCCAACCAGCCAACCGCCGTCACACATCAGACTATCTACACCCTCCACGTGCACTTAAACACTACACCGCACTACGACAACCAATATCCCAGAATGAACGAAACACGCACATATCGCAACTCCGCCACGAGCCTTCTATTCCCATCCCATACCCCCCCATATACTACACTAGCTCCACAACAACACTCACTCAAGCACCAGTGCAGCACCCTCACAACCGCAGGGCCGCATGCAATCAACGAACTAAACAAAAAAGTGCTAGCCAGCGCGGCCGAGCGGCCGAGTGATAATCCATGATTACCCCCTAGCTAGCTCTCTGATATCTCCACACCAAACCGCGCGGCGCCACAGCCATACATATAATTATAACGAGAAGGGTGTAGTAGTGCAGTAAAGTGATCACCACACGAGCGCGGTTCTCAAGAACTACTTACATAGATCGATCACTCACCACCACCACTGGAGTATAGTTAGTTGTGTGCGGGCGAGAGTGAGAGTGAGAGTGAGCTTAGGAGCTAGCTAGCTATAGGTAGAGACGGCTGTGCATGTGTATGTGTATGTGTATGTGTATGTGTATACGTATATACAAAAGCCACCAAATCAAGCAAGCATAAAGTCAAGATCAAGATGAAGAGTCTATTCACTATCCTACACCCCCTTTCCTTCTCTCATCATACCCTCTACCTTCCGCCCCTTCTCCCACCCCTTCTCCTTCCTCCAGTCACTCCCCCCATCATCCCACCTCCAACCACCCCAACCCCAACCGCACCAACCCACCGCGCTCATCCCCCCCACCCCCCCTCCACCGCCGCCTCCGGCGCTACACCAACTACCACGACCCCATCCCCCCTCCGCCGCCGGTGTGGTGCCAAGTACCAGGCATCATCGACGAGGAGGATGAGGCCATGGTACTTGACACAACACCAGAGGCGGCGGTGAAGGGGGGGGGGGGAGGAGGGTGAGCGCACACTATCCAGTATTCAGTGCTAGCTCAATGTTTCAATGTTCCAGTTTTCCAATGTCAAATGTTCCAATGTTCCAGTGTCCAGTGTTCAAATGCAAAGTCCATCCATCCGTCGTCCCGTCCCATCCCGTCCCGTCTCGTCCCATCGCATCACATGAAAAAAGATGTAGAAGTAAAAAAAAAAAAGATGTAGAAAAAGAAGGTAAAAAAGGCAGAAAGAAAAGTAGTAGAAGGTATAAACACCACACCACAACACAACACACCAAATCACAATACTAAAACCATAAAAACTCATAAAAGTTAACAAAAAAAGACGTAAAAAAAAAACTCCCAAACACACAAAAGCAAGAAAAACTTCAGCCACAGTTTTTACTACTAAAAAAAAAGAATTTAAAGAAACACACAAAAGAAGACCCCCATTACCATACAGCACTAAAAGCTCCCATCATCCTGCACAAGCCTAACACTCGGCGGGAGCATCTTCCTGCTCATCTCCTTCTTCTCAGTAATACCCACCATCGGCGGCGGCGGCCTCTTCGGCACCGGCCTCCCCAGCGCCGGCGGCGGTGGCGGCGGTGGTGGCGCCTGCTGCAACCCCCTCGCACTCGGCGGTGGTGGCGCCTGCTGCAAACCCCTCGCACTCGGCGGCAGACTCTGCGGCCTCTGTGGCGGCGGTGGCGGCGGCGGACGAGGCGCCGTAACCTCCACCCTCACCCTCTGCACCTTCTCCATCCCTCCCCCTCCGCCCACCTCCTTCTCCCTCTCCCTCAACCTCTCCATCTCCATCTCCCTCCTCTCCCTCTCCCTCCTCACCTCCGCCTTCTCCTTCTCCTTCTCCCTCTCCTCCTCCCCGCCGCTCTCCTCATCGGTCGTCCACACCTCGAACCCGCCGAGTCCAATCACGTCCTCGACGTCTGCAAACTTGACGCCCTTCTTGCGGCGCACACGGCTCTTGGCGCGCTTGCGCATGCCCTTGGATTTCTCGGCGGCGGACCCGTAGAGGTCGAGGTTGTTGTTGAGCTCGCTGTTGGCCTTGGTGAGGCGGTCCCACTCGGCCTCTGCGGCCGTCGTGGGCGCGAGCTGCGCTTCGTCGGCGGGGTCGATGTCGGGGGCTTCGCCGTTTAGGAGGGCGAGCTTGGCGGCGGTCTTGTCTCTCTGCTGCGGGGCAGGGGCAGGAGCAGCGGCGGGAGCGGGTGGTGGTGGAGCGGGAGCGTGGGCGCGGGTGGGGGGTGGTGCACGGGGCGCGGGTGAAGGGGAGGGTGTGGGCTCTGGGGGGAGCGTGACGGGGAAGGCCATTGGGCTGCTGACGGGCCTTGGGGAGCGCGGGGGGGCGTCAATTGTTGTTGTTGAGATTGTGGAGGAGGGATTGGCGGTGTAGGGACGGCAGAAGCTGGCGGCTTGGGACTCGGCGGAGAGGGTGCTGGCGGGGGAGGAGGCGCGGGTGGGTGAGGTGCTGCGGTGGGGGACGATGAGGTTGAACTTCTTGCGGACTGTGGCCCATTTTCGGGGCTTGGTGGGGGAGGACATTGTTGTTGTTGTGGGGGAGTGTGGTGGTGGTTGTGGTGGTTGTTGTGGTGGAGAGTTGTGGTGGAGAGATGGTTGTGGTTATCGGGGTGTTATGGGAGGTGTTGTTGTGGTCGTGGTTGGTGTCGTGTGTCCAAGTCCTTCCAAGGTTCCACCACAGGCTGCTGCACAGTCCACAATCCAGTCCGGTCCCTCAACAAACGTAGAAAGGGGGCAGGTGAATCCAAGTTGCGCAAAGCAAAGCAAAAAAAGCCAAAATCGAAAAGGCTGATATCCGCACCAGGCGTGTATGGGGGGGGTCGAACGTAAAAAAAAAAAAAATAACGAAGAAAAAAAAATGTATCCAATACAATGGCTTCTAGCAGCACTCTAGCACTCTAGCACTCTCACACTCAAGATCCAGTCCTAATTCTCCGGTACGTCCACAATGACAATGGTCACGATCGATCGAAAGAGGGAAGAGAAGAGAAGAGAGGAAGGGAGGGAGGGAGGGGTGGTGGCCTCGGTAAGTAATATAGATTTTTCCTTGAATTCCTCCGAACTCCTGTTTTGTCCAGGGGCAGGATGGATGGATGAGATGTGTGCGTGTGCGTGTGTAGGCGTGTAGGTGGTGGATGTGGTAGGTGTGTAAGTGTAAGGGATCGAGGGTAAGTGAAAGCTGGCTGGTTGGAAAGATAGCCTTTCTCTGCGTCCCTTCCCTTACCTATCTTCCCGGTTAAGCAACGTACCAGGTTCTGCTGCTATTCTTAGGGGCCGGGGTATGGTGCAGAGACGAGCAGAGCAGAACAGCAGAACGGCAGATCAATCAGATAAGATGTCGCTGCCAATGTCGGTGAAGACGCCGAACACACACTGCAGCGCGCCCGCCCCGCTCTCCGCCCGCCAGGCGCAGTTAATCTACCTCTGAAAGTGCCCTAATTCCGTAGCTGGGGGCGGAGGTTATTTTATCCATTATTGCACATTGCATAGTCCATTTCGACATGACCTCGTTTTCTACTCTATTTCACATGTTTCCCCCCTCCACCGAGTTAGCTCCCTCCCTCCCTCCCACCTTCGCAGCCAGCGCAGGGACACCCCGCCGCCCCCGGCACGGGAAACAACACCCCAAACCAAACCAAACCAAGATCCCATCTCGCCCACCCAAACCGGAGAAACCTCCAGCGCACTGCCACTCTCACCCACCCGTAAGCCATATCTCAAAGAGGCACAAACACAATACAATATAAAACGCAGTCATGGGGCTAGGGACAGACAGCGCTGCTCGTAACCTATACCACACCGTACAGTATAAAGTTCAACCCTCTTTGCACCTACTCTACGAGTCTGCAGCCAGCTAGCTGAGGTTATGCCATAAACCACCACACGCCCTGCCTGCGCATGGCATGTATGTATGCATAGACCTACTTGTCTTGTTTATGCACCCCGTCCATCTGTCCATCTGCTTAGTACATAAGATAGACCGTAGAGTACTGGTCCGCGCCGCCTATCATGCTATGATGTAACCTAACCGGCCGGGCACTCGCCCGCGCTTACTCTACTTTCTACTTTCTGCTCTGCTCTGCTCTACATACGAGGGGCAAGAAGAGGGAGGGCCAAAAATAACAGCACGGTGCCAAGTTTCAGCACTACTCGACGACCTACAGTGTTCTAGGGTGCCGCGCGATGTCTTCGCGCTCTTGAAATGGCTGGATTTAGTTTGTAGACTTAGCAGACTCAGCAGAGTATGGTTGGAATCTTTAGAGTAGAGTAAGTGGAAGGAAGCAAGATACCCGCCCCCGCTAGCCTAGCTGTCTGTCAAACACACCACTAAAGTCTAACACACCTTCCAAGTCAACTTCCAACTGCGCGAACGACCACCACCCATCCATCCATATCCACCCATCCAGGTATAGGCCCTTTTTAACTTAGTTGGCTAGCCAGGAACAAGCCAGTCCCAAAAAATAGACCAAAAAATAAAAACTTCTATATATACCCCCGCGCCATCCCATCCCATCCCATCCCATCCCATCCCATCCCGTACCAAAACATGCGTGAAACCTGAAACTTGACGTTTCCACTACCTAGCTAGCTAGGACGTATCTAACACCAACCCAACCCAGCGAGCGAGCGAGCGGTGCGAAATAAAACGCAACAGATTCAGATTCATCCCTGGTTAGCCAGTTGCATGATGGGTGATGGGTGATGGATGGGATTGGCGGATGACTAATATAGCTCATGCCCTATTATATTGCCGGGTATATAGGGAGGATCGAGATATAGATAGAGATGGATTAGCTGGGTAGCTAGAAGCTAGATGTAGGTAGATGTAGGGAGATGTTCTAGATGGGATGGTATGGATGATCCGGGCTGGGCCCTGGCCGGGTAGGTAGAATGATATGTTTGTCGAGGCTGTTTGACGAGGCTGAGATTTCAGATAACGTATACGTATAACTGCGTAGTTAGTGCGCGTTAAATAATACCGACCGACCCCTGGACGTACCTACTACATACAGCTTCCGGATCTATGTTAATCGTCGAACCTGCGCATGCTCTATATACTCGGCTTACCCTACGCACAACTCGCGCGGCCGGTTTGAAGCCGCTCATGATCAAAGAACTGTGGCGAGTGGTCTGGCAATGAACAACTAAGAGCAGCGCTCTCGTGCGTTTTTGCAGTATTCGATCAGATCAATTACCTTTTAATTTTTTGTCTGAGCGGCTTTAATCTGGCCGCGAGAGTATTGTCGCCCTATTCTACAGCTATATCTACTCTACTCGCCCACTTCACCGCTCCACCACTCGCCATCTCTACCACTGAAGTAACCCGTACCGGACATCCATATCCACATCCTCATATATCCTCAGCTCTAAATGTATATCTCTAAAGTACATGTAGTTATAATTATGTAAAGTAACATGCAACACCACGCTCAACCCGCAACCCGCAACCCTGAACCATGACCTTACCTCTCTCTCCATCTCTCTCGCTCCAAAATACACAAACAGCGAGCTACCTAGGCCAGGAACAACCAAACGGTTTCCCACCACCCCAGCTGGGGTACGTTTCATGATGGATGTCGCGTCGTATCTGTTTTGGGAAACATCGACCATGGTCGGCCGTCTTGTATATACCTGCTGTTGCCCTGCTCCGCGACCGTTTCCCGTTCACCACACACGCAAAAAAAGAAGTTTCCCGTGGTTCGCTTTCCGTGCGGTTGCGACACCGATTCCAATTCCGATTCCAATTGCGGGAAATAAACCTGCCAAGTACTTGTTTACCACGAAAAGAACCAGAAAATGCAAGTGACGGAAACAGGGATAGTTTATATGAGAGATCACCGCCACTCCATACAAATAATCCTTGCCCTGAGCAACTGCATTTTCTGGTTCTTTTCGTGGTAAACGAGTACATACCCAAATGTATTAGATGTCACCAGACACGCAAAGCAAAACAGAAAAAAAAAGAAAAAAAAAAGAATTCCAAAACAAAAAAAAATAAACAAGTGCAAAAAGCAGGAACCGTCCAATCCCGATTCCCCCGCCGCAAATAGAAATTTTTTTCTTCCGTGATGCAAGGTACCACCTTGTTTGTTTCTCACACATGAAACATCTATACAGGAACCCTAACCCTGTGGATAACCCTAACCCGTGAGTGAGTGGGTTGGTTGGTTTAAACATCGATCACGATTGTGGTAAGTAAACGACTCGGGGATGGGTACATACATCCATAACTGGAAATCGGGTGGTATTAGGTTCTTGATAAACCGGGAAAGGGTTTGCGCTATTTTGACAAGCTGCATAAAGTAGTAATCCGTCCAAGACAGATCCAGCTGGACTGCTTTATATTGCGTACGGTACGTCAAAAGCGCGGCTAGTCAATGGTTTAGTATGCTATTCAATTACAAACGTTAGTAAAATACGATTATATCAGAATGCGGTGGCTAGGTGATGTTAGCCCAGATAAAGATATTACGACTTGTTCGCTCTTTGTCCTTTTCGAAGTTCCAAAGAAGCCATTTGTCCGGAGTAAGTACTGTCTGGGCAGATGCCTTATTTAACCTTTTTCCAAGAAATGATATATGTTGAGATTGTTCTGCCATGGAGATTGTTTCCAGCACTTAAGAGGTTAATTGCAGAAGTCAACTGTATCCCTTCGTCTGTTAAAGCTGCCAAGTTTCGCCAAGAAATCAATTCAGATGTGGTTTATGCCTGACGCACTGATTATCTTTGCCAACTTTAGACAAACCAGGTATTCGTTTGGCAAGATCAGCTGTCTCAAACCTGGCAGCAATTAACTGACAGACGAAGGGATACGTATATACTTGCATCCCATTCTGAGAGTATTTATATCAAAGACAGTTGGCATGTCTTTGAAAGGGCGTCTTCCCGTCTGACATATATTCTGATGTCTTAATAGATCAATACAAACAACAGTTGGGGTTGTTCGGTAAGCTCACCTCATATAAGGACACTAACTGGTCCTTAAGGTAGAGTTATCGTCTATACTACCGACGAGCTTTAACTACTAATCTTACAAAGCGAAATCATAAGAAGTGCCTGAACTTATTAACTCGTGGTTAGCCGTCGGAAGCACTACTCTTTGTGATCCTCGTAAATTGTTGAACCTCCACCCAACATCCAAGATTCAATATGATATCTCGTTCGACTACCAGCTGTGGGTCCCCCAAGATCCGCTGGCCCCCACAGAGACCGAGCACAATGGGCCTGCCTAGATATACACGCGTCAAATCGGTCCGAAAGGAAGTATCTAAATGTCCAATTAGAGACACCATAGATGAATCTCCGGACCAAAATACAAAAACACCCGTGGGGGTCAATTAAATGACTTTTATCTTGTTTCGACACGACTCGTTAGGAATCTAGTTCGGTCCCAAAAATGCGAATTATATATTGCAGGTCTGATCTATTGTCAATAAGGTTGATTAGTAGGTTAGCGTTATACCGTACCGGGTCAACAGCATCTGGCTCAAGTTGATTCCGAGCCAATAAGTTCAATAATCCAAGATTACTGAAGTTAGAGCTTGTTGTCGTAAAATGTTTACTATCTCTTCTTCACAACAGCCCACAAAGTCGCGGAATTGAGCTTATGTGAGGATACTCTCTTGCACCACCATCCTAGCACCCCAACTCCGAAACCGGCCATCTACCGGTTCAGGTCAACCGGTAATAGAGTAGTTTTCGCACTAACGTGCATAGGCTCAATCAGTATTGTGGGCTTTGCCCGTCAGGGCTTAGCGACACGACAGACCACAATGTCTTCAAAATACCTCCATCTACTGACAAAATTTTCAACTCAGTTCTCTGTGAACACGCCGATTGGTAGCTTTTCATATATATATCTGCAGGCCGACGGCGTAGACTCGCTAATATAATATATACTTGGCGCGAGAATGAGTTAATGTCAAAGCAAGCCCCCATGATCTGACATGTTAAACCAGCATTTATGGGACGCGTTATTGTTCTTGGCAGGTGTGGAGAAAGGTTGGTGTTGTGAGACTGGTCTCTTGGAGAGTAATGTCTCCGGATGCCAATCGATCACTGTTTTATATTAGAATCCCCCAATAATCTCTTTACCTGTAGAGAAGGTGGATAGAGATTTCGCCACACAAATATGAAAATAGGCCGATCTTATATATATCGTACCGTAATTCGTTAAAACATCAAGTCATGCGTTCGATTTAAATGGTTATTAGGCAAATGCCTAAAGCTTGGGAACACAAATCCACTCAAAAAGTGATGTATTTCCCCTCCCTTTGCATTTTCACAAAATGTTAGCTCTCAACAACGTGGTTAGTCAGTCTCTTTCCAAGCAAACATATCGTCGTCGGTCAGCAATGTAAAAAAAAAAAAAGGCCTAGTGTCAAAATATCTGTCACGGAAAGTCTCCCGGTTCCACGCGTGCGGCACGGATGAGTTTATTCGGCAGCATCGAACCGACAATTGGTCTCGGAAGCAGGGGAACCTTCCCTAAGGCTGGCTGCTGTACTTTAAGTGAAGCACTGCATCCCCGATGATGTCAGGGGAAGTAGTTCATGTAAGCCTTGATCATGTACACGTCCCAAACCGGTCAAAGAAAGTAGAATTAGGTTCCCCACAAAACCCGAAGTATTGGATTTCAGAGCCTCCATTTTATTCTCATACCCAGGGTATCAACCTTTTCCCCATATTGTAGTGTTATGCTGTAATTTCGGGAAGTGGCGTTTCATGAGAAGGAAATCCCAGGGCCAAACTGCAAATGTGTGATCTCGTTAAGCTCCTCAATTACTCCAACATCTATTCTAACCAGGATTATGAGTGCCACATGTTGTGCTTCCTGGCCAAGTGTTGTGGGGAAGTGGGGATATATTAATTTGGGGGTTTCCAAGGAGCGGTGTAATTTCTGTCGATATCAAACCCAGTTTTCAAAAGATGTGACTGGGTATCGGGAGCCGGCCAAGTGTCGAGATTCCAGAGACAAATATCATAAGTACCCGACATCTGTCTTGGCATATCGTACTGCAGAGCCGAAGGAGGCAAGAACTGTCGGTATGCGGTCCGTACAACCCGACCCCCACGTGTGATAGATTTGCCCCAAGCCAGTGAAATCTACCACTGTTCCTTCCCCACATATAGGTTGTTAGTGGTTTACCCCAGAATCGTTTCCCAAGTCTTATTTCGGGGCGATCACCATTTAGATTCAAGACATCCACCGGGGAAGCGGGAGTCCTTCAGAAGTCTCACTAACGTCCTAGAGATTGTTCATCTTGCTTCTGGGGTATTTCTCCTTCCGGGTAAAGACGTTAGAATCATGATCATGCATATGAGGCGGCTGACTTTGCTATTTTTTCCGACTGATAGGGATCCCCTCAATGCGGGGTGGTCGCAAATACCCAGGTTTATTTTTTTATCCATTTATTTCATCCTGACATGGGTGTATCGAGGGAGCATTTATGGACCCTTTAAATTGTCCCTCTCCTCTTCTCCGATTTTGAAGAACTGTGGGTTTTAATATTCCAGGCCAGTTTCAACACCATACACCAACCCAAAAGACAGGAAAGAAAAGGAAAAAAACTCAAAATGGTTGTTGGAGAAAAGGCTGATCCAGTGGTAACTCGATTGGTTGAGCAAGATCATGTGCCATGGTAAGTCGTGTATTGCTCCAACGCTTATACAGTCCTGAAACTGTGGCTAACAGTATCATTTACCATCCAGGTACAAGAAACCAAACCTTCGTTCCATGTACTTTGTCATGGTCCCATCATGTCTTGGTGTCGAATGGACCTCTGGATTCGACTCTTCGATGATGAACGGTATCCAGACAATCGAGAACTGGCAGACTTGTATGTTCAGGTCGACTCTTTTGGTGTAAATCATGCTCCCCCTGCTAACCTTATAAGACTTTGATCATCCAAATGAGGCCAAACTAGGGTTCATGTCCGCTTCATACTCTCTGGGTTGTATTCTTGCGCTTCCATTTGTCCCGTGGGTGAACGACCGCCATGGACGTAAGAAGAGTATCATCCTTGGTTCCCTTATTATGATTGTCGGCTCCATTCTTCAGAGTGCAGCTCAGAACTGTAAGTACATCAAACTACATAATTAATAATGCATCTATTTACGGATTGGTAGACGCCATGTTCGTCATCGCTAGAATCGTCCTCGGCTTCGGTATCCCATTCGCTATTGTTGCCGCCTCGTCATTGATTGGAGAACTCTCATACCCCAAAGAAAGAGCTGTCTTGACATCCCTTTTCAACTCTTCATGGTTTATCGGTGCTATCGTTGCTGCCGGTGTGAACTACGGCACTTTCCAGATGACGAATACATGGTCGTGGAGAATCCCTTCTTTGCTTCAATGTGTTCCTAGTTTCCTTCAACTTGGCAGCATCTGGTATGTTCATGATCAGTCTAGACTTTTTTTCTCTCCCTCGAAGGATATCCGCTAATTACTAGTGTCCAGGTTTATTCCGGAGTCACCGCGTTATCTTATTGCAAACGATAGACACGAGGAGGCCCGTGACATCTTGGTGAAATACCATGGTGAGGGAGATGAGAATTCTGAGCTAGCCGCAACCGAACTTGCTCAGATTCAAGCTACCATTAAGCTCGAGCTTGAGGGTAAGAAGATGACTTGGCGCCAATATTTCACTACTGCCGGGAACCGTCGTCGTGCCGTCCTCGCTCTCTGCATTGGTGTCTTTACTCAGTGGTCTGGAAACAATCCGCTTTCATTCTATCTTAAGAAGATTCTCGATCAAGTTGGTATCAAAGATGGAAAGCGTCAAAACTTGGTCAATCTTGGTATGACTTGTTGGTCATGGGTCAACGGTACCTGTATGGCGCTTGCGGTGTTCAAGTTCAGAAGAAGACAGATGTACATGACCTGTATCTTCGGTATCCTCACAGTCTATATCATCCTTACAATCAGTTCAGCAAGATATGCGGCAACAGGAAGCACGGCGTCTGGAATATTGACCGTGGTGGCTATTTTCTGTTATTCGCCATTCTATAACATGGGTTTCAACGCTCTTACCTACAGTAAGACTACCTCTATACCTCCTGTATTCCCTCGTATCTTCTCGGCTAACGTGTTTGAAAGCCTACCTTGTTGAGCTCTTCCCCTTCACAATTCGTTCCAAGGGTATCACAATGCAGCAGTGGTGGGGCCGTGCAGCAACTTTCTGTAACACCTTCATTAACCCCATCGGAATGGACAATATTGGATGGCGATACTATATCTGGTACTGCTGCTGGATTACTGTTGAGGGTACTGTCATATACTTTTTCTTCCCAGAAACCGCTGGGCGTACTCTTGAGGAGTTATCTTTCTGTAAGTCTCTTTGAATCCCTTCGTACTCACCAGGTATATCTGCATACTGATGATGGATCCCGATAAATAGTGTTCGAGGGTGATGATGTCAGGGCCGAGGTAACGCAAAAGGTGGCGAAGCAGATTGGAGAGCTTGAACATCGTGAGATTGTTGTTGGCAAAGATGAGAAAGTCTAGAAGTGTATTTAGGGGACGACCTAGTCGAATAGATTAGTCAAGCTACCACAAAAAGGCATGCTGACTTTATGAATCTTATATCTGTTTTTTTGTTCTTATGTTACCAAAGAAATATAGCTGCTCGGCACCAGTGGGTTGATCTGGCAAAACCATCCGTGGTGGTTGTGTGCTATAATCTACAGAACACATTCTGTAGTGCTCATTCTCGATATGAAAGTGACCATGATGGCCTAATATATTCTGATGATGGTCTAGTCCGATAAATTTATAATCCCTTGAATTTATGTGACAAAAATAGTCTCCCATAACCAACGTTAACCACTAAAGTCTATCAGATCCTGTACTACACATACCCAAGAAATCGCTACATGCGCACCCCGCTAGCAACTATGTGAGGGATAATAAATAAATCAAATACAAATAGAAACTTCTGTTTGAATGATATATACCCGCCTTTTCGGTATATATATCAGAGTTGGAAGGAAAGGTTCACCGTGAATCATTCGGGTCGATGCTAAGTGGTGCCAAGGCTCGAGTGATGGATTATGATTCACACGGTTACATGTAACGAGGACTCCTGCACTTATTTGTATGCCGCTGTAGAGGTACGAGATTGACCATCAGTTAGCTTTGTGGAAGGGATTGGTAGCTATATGTATGTACTTAATCTGATCATCGTCTGTCAGTTGTTCGAAACCTATATCCCGGTTCCAATACATGCTTGTTACAAGCGTGGGTTCGAACGGGGGCTTCGCCTGAGTTGATGAAGAAGATGGAACGATACCATAACATATTGAAGATGTAATTCATGATCTCAACTCAAGACTCTAGTTGTAATAAAAGTTACCTTTATTAATCCTTAAAATGACAAGAATATAAGCTAAAGGTTGTCACCTCAAGACACCTACATGTATCTACTGCCGTCATCTTTGCATTTGATCAATACACACATCCTTTCAGCCGCCAATTAGTTTCATCAGTGTGTTCAGTGATCATCATCTCCCACGAGTCTCAGAGACGGGGACGGGATAGCCCTTGCCTTCTGATCAGATAGATCTGCATAAGCTCGTACTGCTCTACTCAAGTTCTGGGCTGTCCTGTATCTCTAGGTCAGCCATTTCTAACCCCTTTTCCGCATACACATGGTGCTAACATTCATCTATCATCATGTTATTCACAATCGAATCAGCCCAGCCCAGTGGAGGATCCGCCAGCACGGAGTATTTGTTTTACTTTCAATATTGATACCCCATCTTGTTTACGTTTCATCAGGAGATGTAAGTACACTGTGCCTTAACAGATAGAGAGAACCGCCTAGATTAATTCTGACCTGAGTCGTTTCTAATTCTCTCTCCAGTGCACGCTTTATCCGCTCCCATCACCCTTGCCCTAGGACCAGACGGATCTGGATAAGCTCATGCTGCCCCGGCCTCAAGCTCCGGGTCTCTCAACAGTGTTCATCTCAACAGCTGCCTAGTTCCAACAGCCGGATACAAACCTAAAGATTAACAACAATAATCAACAAATAATCCCCAGTGACAGTTATACCCGGAACAGGAGAAGAAAAATCTGTTTTGTTTCTGGCTCCAGTCATCCGGAGGGGTAACCGAACATCACTGGTAGTAATACCACATATTTCCTTGGGGCAAGATCTGCATCGCAGGTCGCAAGAGGTAAAAACACTTTGAGTGTGGCAAAATTAATTAGCTAACACAATTAATATAGTTAGGGTTAGACTCCTATTTATTGAAGGTCAATGTTCCAGCTACAGACCACAAAACGATATATGTAACAACTGAGGTAACTTAAAAACAATACCTGCGGATACTGGAACCCAAAGGAAAATTGGTGAATATATTCTCTGATGAATGCCATCAAGTCGTTAGCAATAATTAATTTTGTTTGGCATATAATAGTGTAGATGGTTTAAGAGACCCCAGGTTTCTTGAAAATATATTCCTTCGTTCGCATCGACGAGAAACGCTATTGGGGCTGTTTAACTTGTTCCAGCGACTTTTATCTCTAGTACACCTAACCCACACTCCGCGAACCTCTTTAGGCTCGAAGTCACAGTTTGTGACCTCTTTTTCAACAGATCTTTCCACTCCTAGAGGGTATCCACTCCCTGTAGCAGTTAGTATTTTGAATATCAACTCGGCTTTTTCTTGCGAAAACCGGGCACGAACGAAGGGATGACAACAACACTACCAACATATATGGAGGAAGAGTCGAAATCATAGCCAGTATCGAAGGTGCCAAAATAATGAGAAACAATACAAATCGCGAGAACATCAGGTATCAAGTACAGAATATTACCGAGCTTAAGCCTGCCGTGAAAGAGCCATTATCATCCTGTCGAATAGGTAGAGACAATCTCTCTAGCACTGAAATACTCCAAGTATTATAGTCAATAGACTTTTCTTCTATGGGGATACATGTATATTCGTCTATGACCTTCCAGTGTTTCTATACTCATGACAATAGGAGGTTAGAGTCTATTCATAAAATCTAATACCTTATAATCCGGGGATCCGGAGAAGAGAAAATAACCATCACAGTCCGTTTTTCATATGTTTTAGTTGGTCTCCTTTCTTTGTGGTGGCAGCCACGGGTGAGGAAAGGAGAATGTAGGGGAAGCGACGGTAAAGTGGGGGAAAATCAGGATGACTAGTGGTTGAGGACACTTGTCCAGCGCCGGTAGACACACCTGATAGGGATTTTTCCATCTATACTTAGCTACAATCAATTCCAGGGCGAGCCGCAAAGCTCGCATTCCTGTTAACAAACAAATTGATTTCAAAGTTGAAGACGAAAGAACTCAATGAGAAAGCATTGAAAATAAGATTGGGACAACTAAAAGAAAGTCTCAGGTGAGGCACAATCGAAAATAAAGAACCATTTCCAATTAGAAACTCGGACCATGACAACTAGAGACATTGATGGTCGTATCACAAAGCCTTAATCGATGCTTCGGTAAGTCTGACACGTATGTACTGTTAGTAAGTGCAACATAAACCCTAAAGTACAAGACGAGATATGGTTGTTCTCTAGCCCCTTCACTTTTGATCTCTCACAACTGCAAGTTCGCTAAATATAGAGTGTCTAAGCAGATGTTCTGCTGCTCGGAAACGATATCAAAGTCATATACTTGATAGCTGAATGCAGATTCGTGAGTGGATGGGTTGGGCTAAGCTATAAGCGGTATGTAGGAGCCGAGTGAGCCCTGGTGAACGAATTTTGTTCTGTAAGCATGGTGACTGTAATCGAGTGATAGTTCGTGCCGGATCCCGAGGCCCAAGAAAATCGGTCTACATGTATTTTCATGTGCCAGCTGTTCCTGCGCTTTCTTAATCTTTGAATATGGTCGTTCAGCAGTTTACTTGAAAACGAAACAGGAACCTTAATTATAAAGACCGAGGACTAGCGCCATATATACTATAGATGGAGTTTCGAGTCCGAGAAAAAATTTCTATGGACCCACCATAAAGTAACAGGAATAAATAGACCGCTTCCTCTCCCAAGAAAAAAATCTGTAAATCAAACAACATTCATTCGACCCCAACCCAACCCACACCAACTATCATTACACCGACAACCATTACACCAACCACAGCGTCCACAAACATCAAAGCACAAATCAACATGAGATTCCTTATCACCCTCGCAACAATAGTTACTGTTGTCTCAGCCTACTGCAACGACTTCCGCCTCCGCGTCGCCCATGACACCAACCAGGGCCTCCTTAGCGGGCAATACCTCACAAACCACACCATTGACTCCAACGCTACGATCAGCACCAAGTTCAGCACTACCATCACCGCCAAACTCGCGATGATCTCGTTGAATAGAACTGAACTTCTTATCCCTGGATATGACAGGATGTGTGTTATGCCAAACGGAAGAGTTGGGTTCAAGTGTGTTGGTGCGCAGGTGTGTATATCAATCTAACCTCTTCCTGTATATATAGAGAAACTGTAGTTGTTAATAATGAGTGTATTACAGGGAACTCCGACTGGGTGGAAATTCAAACAACACGAACTCGGGAAGATCTTGGTCCATGGAGGCGCGGAAGATGAGGGGTGGGTAGCGGCGCAGAGGCTCCCCGAGGGTGTGGTTAATGGCACAAAGCCGGCGTGGGAAGTTTATTGGGGTAAGGAGGGTGTCAGTGGGCCTGATATGGAGGTGCATAGCTTTAAGCTCGTCCAGGAGTGTGTTTGACGCATGACTCGGCGAGTTGGTAACGTGCGGGCCGCGGGGTACGGTTGGCGGATTTCTTTTGCTTATATTTTGTGCTTTGACGGTACTATAGCTATATACACTGGTGTATGAGTGTTTTTTGTTTATGAGGTGTCTATATAGTTATGATAATAACAACTTTCTTGATTATAAAGTTCAGCGAAGTGTTGCGCATAAAAATCAAAGGAGATAGCTATAGCTAGATCAATCAGTGGGTTGTATTTGAGCAATCACAGCAGTAGCTCAAATAGATCAGGTAATGGCTGGACCATTCAGAGGGTGCTTGTAGTAGCTGTGCTTTTGGTGCATCGCTCGAGCTACGTCGTGTCAGTTCCTAAACTAGCTTGGCAATATTTGGTTGGCGGCGGCCAGAAACCAAAACCCCCACAGAGTATTCTCTTTTTTTAGGGCTAGCTTGGCAGTGTTTGGTGGTATGTAGGAGCACTAGGGTCCCGTGAAATATACAAGGGTAAGATACTGGGAGTAAGAAACACGGTTATAAACCGGTTATAAACTCAGGCCCAGTTGAGAGGGAGTAAGATACTGTGGCAGGGTTAGGGTTATTCAAGCAATAACATAGGAAGAGGGCGAGAAACACAAGTCCGTTCCCACTGGCACATTTGCAGACAAGGGCATATACAACTTTCTAGTGGACTGTTGAAGAGACACCCTCATTTTTTGGCTTATGTCATCCGGAGTATCATGCAGTTATAAACACCAGTTTCCAACAGCTCGAGTATTTTGCCCTGTTTTAAACACGTTCTCGAGTATCTCACGGGACCCTGAGGAGCACGGCCCGGGTCGGGGTCGGAAATACAATTCTCCGCCCTCAATCGGCAACGTCAGCTTCTCTTCGCCACCTTTGCTCCCATGCTCACTACCGAATCCTCAAGTGCCTCCCGGATCCCATCAACCACTATCCCTCCGCCTTCACCACTAATGAGCTGGACTCACCACAAGACTCCAATTGACATTTCTCCTACAATTGTTAACGTAGGGGTCATTTGGTTCAGACTAATCAGAAATGCTTCACATTATCGACTGCCTGACCCCCAGGGGACAGCATGTACAGATTACACCCCACCCCTTCAGCCTCATTTCCCCGCTCATGTTGGCCGCATAGTTGAGGGAGCTTCAATTCTATCTTGTATCGGCGATGGCCAGTCCACTCGGTACTCGGGGATAACGTTTCTCTTGAGACGAGGGGAGTACCTTCAACCACCAGTAAATAATACCGGCTATCGGCAAAGAAGTCTCTTTTGGAGGTTTTGATGTGGAATATTGAACCGACTAGTATTACCTCCCACAGGCCTGTTTACCCCATAAGCTCTGAACACTTCGTCAGCATATACTCTATATTTATTCAAAGCTAGATCACTGCTCTGCGGCCTCGGCCGTTACACGACCGAGAATATTATGTCGTTTGATCAATGATCAGCGCACAACTTGGGCTATCTTTCCCCACAGATTATGGGACCCGTGGCGACGGGAAACGTCATCTCAAACAGTCAAGATGTTAAGACAGCTCTGCTTATCAACCACGAATCCATGGACCGGTGATTAGCGGGGCATTCCAGTATATTTCCCTTCCTAGGCAAAAGGTCCGCTCATGCAATTTTTCCTCGAATTGTAGATCAGACCACTGAACGGTGTGTTCTCGAATGAGGGTGTTTTCCAGGGTCATGCATCGTGATGTGGTTCCTCCCACAACCATGGTTCATAATGTTAAGGCCGATGGCATTCTAGCTTGATTTACCGATAAACAGATTCACTACTTGATCGTTGATATCGCAGACCTTGACGTAATGGAATGGATCTGCATTCCAGTAATAACTTTACTGGAGTTGTCGTCGACGACTGCACCCCCACCAGTAAACCTTCTTCTTCATAGACACCTATCACACCACACCACCAGATCACGATGTACCTATCAAGCTCCAAAGCTAGATTCGGTGGTGTAACATGAGTAATGTAAATAATCATTCAACTCGGCTGCGCATGGGCATTTCTTACAATGAAGAACTCGTGTCATGTCAGCCTTATGCATCGTCAGCGCAGTCTCCATAAAGTGCCAGGTTACGAACTACCCATACCCACAACACATAGGAAATAAGCTTTCAATTAGCACTCTCAATTTTTCCAAGATACACCGCATTAATTCATACGCCGAGCCAGCAATTAAACCACAGAACCAGTCGTCGGTCCTGCAGTACATGTTGCTCCACAGACACGAAACTGCCTCATCTTCAGCCCCAATCCAACAGATGACACCCTATGAAACGAAACTGCAACCTTCAACCAACAGTGAGTTTCTCGGCCGTTCCGAGAAAAATTTCTAGAGAAAAAAGAACCTATATTATATAATAAATCAAGATGCAAGAGAAGGGAAAGGATGCACCCTGCGTCCTTCCCTTCCCTGTGCAGCTGCTTCATGCTTGAGCTAGAGTTACGTTATCCCAGGTTGATCATTTACAATGCAATGGCTATGCGCGCATTCACCCATCTCGTCCCCCTCCTCCTCCCCCCAAAAATCAAAAAGAAAACCTAAATAACCCCTGTAAAAACATAGGAAAAAAATAAAACAAGAAAAGGAACCCTTTTGTACAAAATGAAAAGTTATAAAAAAAATAAAAAAAGAACACCGATACCGATAACTGCAGGAGACTAGGCCGCCTCAACCGCGTTACAAAAACCATCCCAGTACCAACCCTCCAATGACCACGGTGAGCATTGTGCTCTTATCAATAAGCGAATTGGCCATGGCTCCAGAGCGGGTGGTGTACACCATGTTGAACCCGATAGTCGACGAATTCTGGCACATTCCCTCTGGCATCGGGTCCGCATCTTCTGGCTCCACGAACGTGATATCCGCGCACTAACCAGCTATCGTCAGCACATGACACATCTCGCACCGCCCAACGCGCGGGCACTTACATTGTACAACGACGCTCCATGTAGTGCGACCTGAATCACCTGGATTGTCGCATTATCGCCGACCTTAACACTCGCGTTCACCGGCAGTGGGACCTGTGTCAGACAGAAGCTGCCCGGGTATGGATTCTTGCTCGGCCCCGTCATCTGGAATACTGGCAACATGATGTTCGTCATGTTTGGTGGTGTTGATCCAAAACCCATATTGACATAGAAGAAGGCTGTCGGATGCCCAGCGTTCCATCCTGGAATAATTGAGATATCACCACCAGTTATCGGCCAGTTAGTACGATTGTTGGTCGTTGGAATACCGGCGCCTATTATGTTGTTAATTGTGGGGGGCCGAAGAAGGAGAATAGAGAAGGGAGCGTACAGGGATAGTTCCATTGCATATCATCTTTGAGAGTGTTACCGCGCCATGCAGGATATTGAATCTGGAAATGTGCGGTTGCGAGTTGGAGCGTCGACAGTACTGTTACTAGTGCCAGCTTCCATGATGATGATGTTGAAAACATATTTGACAGATTGGTATGTGAGACTTTAATCTTCCTCCTAGTGGCCAGCCAAATATTTTGTCGAAGGCACTACGGGAGTATTCGAGTAGCTTTGGTGGTGGTTGCTGCCGAAAAACGTCACTTGGGGTCGTTGAATATCTATCAATAAGACCGAGAACTTGAGAAAGAAAGAAGAGAAGGAGGAGAAATGGGGGAGGGGGGGAGGGGGGCGCGCCAATATGTATGTTGTGTGTGGGTAAGGGCGAGTAGGTAATAGGAGGGAGGCGAATCGAATCGTGACTGGAGGCGGCATTATTAGAGGGGGGGTGCAAATCTTGCTTGTAATGAAGTGAACTGGCATGGGCTAGATTTTAGTGATCAAGGGTATGCACCTACTCCTCTTCTTTACGAGGTCTACAATTACTGTGCTCTAACCACAGTAAACATCCACAATATTGGTATTTGCACTCGACAGAATTAAGAATCAATTCTTTCTCTGTCTGCTTCTGCCTGTCTGCAAGCTACAGTCCTCATAGCCACATGAATACGTAGGTGTTCTTGCGAGTCTTCTCAGTCTCAGTACCAACCCATCGATCAACCAACCATTCACCACACTCACTCCTGCACCTGGGGTGGCGCTGACTGGAAATCTTTCCCATACTCGGATCGAACCAATCAACCCAATACCGAGAAAAGAGAGAGAGAACTGATCCGTATCGCCGTAATTAGATACCACTCTCTCGTCCTCCAACAACAACCGGTAGAATTGGAGGGCCAGAGGGAGTAATAGTAAACCCACATATGCCCCCATCCTACAACTCCTCTACGCGCCGGGACTAGAGCAAGCGGCTGATCTCCATAACCCCCGCGACGCATTATGATAGGTCGGACCGTGCCTGGGACCCCTGTTCTTGGCGTCGAGCTGCATCTACCTAGTTTAGGTGTGGGATCGCTTGGAGAGACGTGCATGACGCTACAAGCAATTTTCAGCAGAGAGATACTTTGCGTTTACGGTGTCTCTGCTACAAAATGGAAGTCGAATACTTACTAAAGTGAGAGAAAATTAGAAGCCCAAGTATCTTCTACTTCTACGGTGAGTGTCTTGTGAACTAAAAACGAAACTAAACGTAGGTACCTGTTTAAAAGTACTTGATGTAGGTACTCTAAAGCCTTACCATCTACTGCGATGAACTTCACGAACGATCGGAACTATCCTTGCAATTGCAATGCTCATATGCTTGTTCGGCTGTAAGCTTTCCCGGCTGGCCAGGTACTCTACCTAGAGTACTCTATGCACTCTATATTGTAGAAGGAAAGTAGTACTACAAGCACATACTCGCGACCAGCAACAAGAACCCGAAAATGCACGTCCTAATCTGCAATTTCCATTGGAGTAGAAGTCAAAAATACACCAAAGACTTGCAGCTACATATTCGGGTTCTTGTTGCTGGTCGCGAGTACAATTACCCGCGCCGTACGCTCGCTTGACCCATGTGTGCTTACTCAAGATCACAAAACACGAGATGGTGGAATCATTTCCATCGTTTCCAGCTAAGT